GTTCAAGCACGAACAACTCACACCTTACGCTACCTGGAGGCAGCCTACACACAGCGGTTCAAACCCGACCAATGTAAACAGTTGGAGCATGTAGCGAATTTAACTCACTAACATTGGCTCCCTGTTTACACATTTCCCCTCCCAAATTGTTACCCCAGGCGTTTAAACTTCTTATGTTATTGATTAGTCACTTGGCCATTTCTTATGACCATGTGTTTATATCGATTTTTCCTGTATGAATTCAATTTGTATTTTCTCTTATGTGATTCACGTTACGCAATGTGAGGCAACAACTGAAGAGCTCTCTCGAAATGCCATGGATCCAAAAAATCTTGCTGTTATTGCTATCTTTAAATTTGCACCTGGGAAATGTTGCTTTATATTATGCAATTATGACGCAGTAGCTAATGGGATTTCAACTATAAAATTTATTTGAAGCAAAGTTTCCTTGGAGCGAATTTGTAGATTGCAAAACAGCAAAATTTATTGGATCCATCAAATTTCCTGAAAGCTCATCAGTTGCGTCCATTCCATTGCATGGTGAAAGTAAGAAATGAGAAAAAAACAATTATTCAATTTGTACAGAAAGGTCAAAAAAGGTGATAGGGCAGGTTACGAAGGCTAATTAGTGAAGTTAGCGAGTTAAAACGAGTTTGGAAGAAAAACAGATGAAAAGGAGTTAGGACAAATAGGTGGGTAGGGATCTGTGTAAATCTAGGAGCCAGATTTTACCAAAGCATAGTTAGGTTAACAATATGCTCCATTTGTCAGGTTTTGACCGCCGTATATATGCTGCCTCCAGGTAGACCAAGGTACGAGTTGTTGGTGGCCCAACAAGTACTCGGAAGGAAGTTTTAGGGTCCACAGAATGACCCGTATCTTGTAAACGTTATGTAATGGAGGAACGAGGCGTTCTGTGTTCCTCTTTGGAAACCCAACTAAGCAATTGCTTCTTAGTTCTGGTTGCCAATTGCTTTGTGTTCGCGCTATGTGCTTGCATCCGCAAGTGCATGTAAATTCATAAACACAATTGGAAGTGCTGTGCAATGTCTAGGCATCCTTTGCACCAGATATTCGTAAAGCCTTAGTTGGAGAGCAAAATATGAGCTCGGCAGCAATAGTGACTTCTATTAATGGCGTTAAGCAAGCGTCTCCTGATGGTGTTTAAAATATTATCTTCCTTAAAGGGCAAGGAAACGAAAACAGGCTTTTTGGAGCTAACTGTTCCGTCCCTTTAGGGTCACACGGGTCGACTATACTTGTCAATAAAATGAGCTGGATATCCACGCTTCAGGAAGGTATTTTTGAGACTTTCTAATTCGGCATCCAATGTATTTATTGAAAAAGATTTTTCCAGTCCTCTGGAAACGAGTATAAACCAAGTTGCGTTTCCATCGAATGGGAGCAAAAGCTAGATAATGCAAGTTCTGACCCTTCCAGTTATTCTGATGGAAAACCAGTCGTTTAATGGATACGGACGATTAAGTGGACCCTAAAACTTCGTTCTGAGTACTTGTTGGAGCACGAACAACACGTACCTTGCGCTACATGGAGGCAGCCTACATACGGGGGTCAAAATCTGACCTAGGTTAACAGTTGGAGCATGGGGTTAAGCTAGCTTTGCCTTGGTAAAATCTGACTCCCGGATTTACACAGTCCCCTACCCACTTATTCATCCTAACTCCTTTTCATTTTTTCTTTCCATCTAGTTTTACCTCAGTAAATTCACCAATAAGCCTTTGTAACTTGCCCTATGACCTTTTGCGACATTTCTGTACCAATTCAATATTGTATGTTTCTCATTCGTTACTCTCACCATGCAATGGAATGGACGCAACTGATGAGTTTTCACGAAATTTTATGGATCCAATAAATCCTGCTGGTTTGTGCAATCTGCAAATATTAATACCAACTTTCTGACGAAGCTCATAAAGCTCCGTTCCAAATGGGTTTTTTCACGTTTGTATATATAAATGCCCATAGTAACTAAACACGACAGAAAGGTGCCATGGAAACGCCCGAAGACAATTATTTTATTTTGTTGTTCCCCTATTCGAATGCACCCACTTAAGATAAGAGCTTCAACTCGATTGTCAAAATTTACGCTGTTATTATCAAAAGGAGTATTTTTAACAACTAAATTAGGCGAGAACTACTACTTAATTCTTGGGCGACTCGTTAGTAGTAGTAGGATTTTAGCCCAAATATTCATACCCACCTTCGTACTAAGCCCGAAAAGCTTCCTGCCAAACGGGTTTCCTTCACGCTTGTGCATATGAATTTCCTTGGTAGTTAAACATGACAGAAAGGTGCAGGAATCCGCCCACCGAGAACTATTTTGATTTTTTGTTCGACTATTCAAACGCACCGACTTTACGTAAAGCTTTCAACTCGAGTCGGATATCTGTAGAGAGTAATTTGAGCAGCAGTAGGCCGGAGTTCCTTCTGAATTCTTTGGTGAATCATTAGAAGTAGTAGGAATATTATCCTTTATTTTTAGATTGATAGTGGAAAAATATTTTTTTCAGCTCAAGAACAACGGGTAAAAACAGTTGCACAATTTTTTTCAAAAAAATGAAACATAAAAAAATATAAAAAACCTATTTACAAAAATGCAACGGAAGAATCCAAAACTGGGACTACAAAAATGCAACGGACGAAGGTCTTCCTGTCAAATTCTTCTGACATATAGTTCAAACAAATCATTTCAAATGTCCGTCAGCATAAGGCTTGACCTTGAGGACAGATCCATTTTTCACGCCCCACGCCATCAGCATGTGGCTGTCTCGCAAAAGCACGCCGTCCGCCTCCAGTTCATAACCTCCAACGGGCCAGTCTCGCAGCAACAACAGGCGTTCTTTTAGGCTCTCTACGGTGGCCTTTTCGTCGACCCAGAGCCGGATAAATTTCCCACCGGGCAGGGTTATTCTAACTGCAATAAGCTCCGGAATTCCTAGCGGTAAGATAAGAAGTAGAGTCGACTCCTTCGTTATGCCATATTCCGTCAGCTTGCGGGAATCTTCCAGGACTGTGTCGTCAAGCGTCAGAGTTTGTTTATCCATGGGGATTTCTGTGACCCGTTGGATCACCTGTTTTATAACCGAGACAGTGTTGGTGTCCTGCGCCCCCAGCGGGATCTCACCCAGACGTTTGCAGTGGATGCTCAGGTCAAATTTCATTTTTGAAAATGAGCACCCTCTGCAGTGGCACTGGAATAAAAGCAGTAGTCTGACCTTGCCGACCTATCCGAGTTCATATGTTTCTGTCTCGACTCCTTGTATTGGTGCCTGAGTGAGCATTAATGCTCGAACGAGAGTGTTCTCATCACACACGAGTCTCATCTACAAACTACTTACGTCATTAAGGGTGCTGCCGTTCGCGTCAGTGCTAATTGATAAATGACGTAAAATAACGTTGCTCATCACATGATACCTGCGCACCACTGATGTCGTCATTACCGCGCAGTACACGAGTACTGAAAACAAAAATGTCGTCTGCAACAAGTAAAGCAACCTCTTGTTGGCTCCTGAGCTTGTTCCTTCTGTGCTGTACAGTCTCTCAGTCATGCGGCTATTTGCTGCGTACCGACCGTGTGGCGACCGCCATCTCCGAAGGCGCCTTGTGCATGAGGTCACGTGATTGCATTTCTTGGTACATCTCTGGGACAGCCAACCTGAGGCAAAGCTCAAACTATCACAGTAGCTAACAAACGTGCACGGACCAAGAAATACATCCACATAGTTCAATCTGACCAATCACCCCCTGAGGAGCCAATTTCGACGATTGCCATCCTCAGCCACTTTGAACGTGACCCATTCACGAGTGGTTGTGCCTTCGTCTGTCAGTCAGCCTCCTACAATCTTTTCTCCACTACTTCTGTATAGAAAACACTATTCTTTCCACTTGGCATCTCAATTCTTGTCTTCGCCTACGGCACAGGGCCTGAGGATCGCAGCCGCAAGGGTCTTACCTACTTACTTTGCTGAAATAAAAGAATTAGACTGCCTTTGATTATTTGAATTCATAGGTTGCACAGCAACGATGTCTCTACACAGAATCGTCCGGCCTGAGCGAACATTCACCTGAGCACTTGTCTCTTAAAATCACCCACACAGAACGGTGACCATGCCAACCACTCGGAGGGCAGTTTTCCTCCCCCCTTCCCCTCTGATGCTTTGTTTTGGTGGATTGACGCCTCATCGCAGGATCCTCTCACCTGGGCGAACATTAACCTTCGAATGTGACCATTTTTGTTCATGAGTTTCAACTACTTACTGCGTATGCCTCCTCAACAACCGAGGGGGGGGAGTTGATTCGAAGTGTATGGACTGCTCGTGTCAGCTGATTCAGAACGGACTGGCAAACTCATCACTCATCAAGTCACCTTGGCGCAACTCTGACGCCATCACTGGATCAGCAAGCGAATAGTTTAATCGAAGGTTGAGGCAGAAACAAGCAAAGTGGGCCTGGTCTGACTCTTACGCTAAGTCCGTCTGTTACCTCGAGTACAGTTTTTCAGTCATATAGTTTTTTTTTCTGACCCTGTTACCAAAGAAAAGGGTCCTCATTCACCATGGTCGCCGCTTTCTGGATTCGGCCTTGCATCACACAAAACCCAAAACTTGGCTACTGTCTGTCGGCTAAGCATTCATTGAACCCTGGCATAGCGGCTTATTTGTTCAGGTCAGGTCAGGTTTTATTGAGGGAAATATAGGTAAATGCCTTTCACTTCCCTATTGGTACAGGACAGTTATTCAATGCATTTGTTCAGCAGAATATTTCAAATCAGTGGCGTTGCCAGTTATTGGAACTGGGTAAGGGAGGGCCGACAGTGAAAAACTCGTTAGGCATGGTTCAGAAAGTCTAGGGGTTTGAATGCCATGTGTTATAACCAAGTGAATATGTAGTGGCTTTAATGTCCACAAATGGACAAAGCAACTACGTCGGAAAAGCCGGGAGATTACTCCCGGCGCGAGTGGCCGAGCACGCACCCTAAGCGATGGGAGGAAAGACGTTGGCTCTCAGGTTGCACAGCACTCGACGGGGCTTGGTCACATTTTCAAATTTAACGCGGCCAGAATCCTCGTAAGGGATGACAACCGCGTGAGTCGCGAAATGGCGGAATCGTGGTTCTCAGGCACGCGGTCCTTCAACAAGCGCATTAAATAACCATTCCCAGTATTTCGTGCAGAGACTTTGCCTAAGCTGAGGAATCAGTCACGTGAAGTAGACGTGGACCATCAACAAATTCGAAAACATCCGGCCTAATTGTCGTGTAACTACCACGCTACCATCCAACACAGATGAGGAAACTTTGGCCATTGAAGCCTCGGACACGGGCTGCCAAGCCACTAGTCACGACCATTAGCAATGATCACGAGAACCGCTGATTTTAGCACACATGCGTTTTGCAGTTTTCATGGCCTTTTTTCATGTAAGCGAGCTTGGTGTGTGATCTGTACTCCAGTGGTGCTTACAAAAGACGATGGGTTAAGCGTGGATCTAGCTGTGTTTCTTCCCTAACAGTAATAGTTCCAACCTTCTGGCGCTGATCACGAGATATGTTTGCGTAAGCTGCTTCGCCACATGATAATTGGTCACCTCTGACGTCATCACTGAGCCTGCACGCAAATGCTGCACCAAGCAAAGCAGACCTAGTCTGGCTTCTAAGATAAACCCCTCTGCTACTAGGAGTCCAGTCGTACGGTCAAGGTCGATTGGATAATTGTTTCCCTCAGATATTTCCTCGCGCAGTTATAAAACAAAAAGTCTTTGGAAATTAGCCTTGGTCCTGCTGATCAGAAGTAATCTGCCTGCATATAGGGAATTATGTAAAACCTGAGCGGCTGATCATTGGTCCATACTTTCAGCCAGTCTTGTCAAATTTAAAGTATGTAGCATAAGTATTTTTATGTTTCTGTTTGGAAAAAGAACAGACAGGAGATTCACGGTTTTCGCAAAATTGTTTTATACATTTGACTACTTTCTGGTCCATTTTATTATTAGGAACAGGGCTTAAAAATTAGTAAATATATGGTGAAGATTACTCAGTTATAGAGACATGTGAGTTATTTCATTTCCAATCACAACGTGGTCAATTTTTCCCATTTTTATGTTGACGCTATCTTGCAAAAGAGGAAAAATGTTAGGTAAATGTCAATTAAATGGATTTTTTAAATATATATCTTATAAAAGACAGTTTTCTAGTTGATCTTCGGTATACTTTTGGTGCAAATCTGCCTTATGCTCGGCAATGTCTTTGACGTTTTTAAGCGATTTATAGTGGGGCCGTCTGACGGAAGATATTTATAATTTAAAGATACTATTTGTAAATTTTAATTAGATTGATTTGCGGCCTGTTCTAATATATGTTTAATTATGTAAGCCAATCGGAGTTGTTCTAATATTTTCCTTAATGCCTAGGCTCCCTTTTCAATCTTCTGCTCATTTCCGCAATCTCTTCATCAACGTTTTCAGTTCAGTCAAACAATTCCAATCGGCTTTAATTTATTTCATACCATGCAAGTATCACGCATTATGCACGAATTAAGCACGCATTACTCAGACATTAAACCTTTAACCAGAAATTCCTTAAGATACTTCGATTGGGAGACCTCTGACACGACGATGAATCCCTACTGAGCTTTTTGTTACTCTACAACTATGCTAACACGGTTATCTTTATAAGAGTTATTATTCAAAGGTCAAATTTGCGGTAAACGCGTTGAAAAGCCTTACATTTATGGAAAAAGCTTCAAACGAAGGAAAATCGCGAAATATTCGCCTGAAACCAATGGCAACTTAATGCCAAAAACATGTGAAGAGCACTTAATTGACAAGGTTTTTATCGATAATATGGTTTGTTTACGATCTTCCGCAAACATGATAGTATCATTCTTCGGTCAAGGTTACAGTGATCTCCCCCGTTTTTTGGAAGTTCAGGCTTTTTCAGAAAAGTTTATATTTATAGACAAAAGACCCAAGTGAACGCCAACGAGTGATAAGTCCGCCGGGCGACGTGGGGGAGGCCAAGAAGCATTTCGACTCGCCTACAACTAAGCTGAGCGCAGAGGGGATAATGGTCACGCAAGTCCACCAGCAGCCAACCTCCGGAAGACCAAATGCGGTCGGCAACGAACTGGAATGTCAAAATTCACAGGTCCAACACCGATATAATTTGAGGCAGACGGCAAGGCTGACTAAATCATTACCACCAGACGTAGCTACCAGAACACTCTGACGATGAAAGCGAGGTTTTCAAAAAGTCAGTTTAAATATAATTAAGTACATTTACCCGCCCCCTCTTCTTCTTGTTCCTTATCTTTGGAAGATGATGAACGCGATAGCCTATCTGGACGCCGAATCTTAAGGCATATAAACAAACAAATACGGGAAGTCCTAAAAAGTGAACGCACATTTTAATTAATTGTTAACTTGGTGTTTACTATAGTTTTTAATTTCAAAAATGTAAAAAAATATTTACAAGAATCATTTTTTGTCTTTTTTCACTGCAATTTTAACGATATTTTAAATAGCTTATAATTAAATTATTTGTGTTTCTTCTGTAAATTCAATCCCTGAACATAATAATGACAGTCAGACCAAACTTCGAGGAAAACATTATTCTGAAATGCTACTAGAACTGCTAAAATGTAGTTGAAGTGCAAGGACAGTTTAGGAGGGAATTTAAAAAAGAACATCAAACGTGAGTTACCATCACTCTAATAAGAGATATGTTTGTAGCTGGTGGAACCGTTCAGAACGTTCATAAAAAGCTTATCGGAGGACCACGATCGTCAATGAGCCTTACACAGGAAGAAACAGAAGAAACATTTCAGCGAAGTCCAAGAGAGTCTGTACGACAGGCTTCTCGTGGGGATGGAATTTTAAAATCATCTGTCCATCTGCCCAAATTACCATCGCGATGTTATATCCTTCCACGATGAAATCTTACCAAACAGGTGGATTGGAGGAAGGGATTTTGTTGAATATTCCCCCCCTTCACGAGAACTCACACCACTAGATTGTTTCTTATGGGGATACGCAAAAGACAAGATTTACGCTATGTCATCTGCAACAGTGGCTCAATCGAGCAAAGCCATTGAAAATGGATGCACCCAAATACCAAGGGAGTTGTTTCATGGCCTCTGCGATTCGATTGCTTCGTGTTGTCAGCAGT